TCACACAACCAAGCACTCACTCCCTACTGCTACACATTCACAAAACCCACCACCAATCCCCATACCCACTAACTCACAGCCACCAACCCCCATACGCCACGCCACCAGCCACCCAGATCCACCCACCTAAAACCATTACCCAAACTCACCCTAACCCTGATCGAACCCACACCTACACCCAAAGCCTAACCCTGACCGAACCCACACCCAAACCCTAACTAACCTTGACCTACACTCACACCCAAACTCAAACCCACCCTAACCCTGACCGAACCCATATCCAAACCCTAACTAACTCTGACCAAACCTTAAGCCCAACCCACCCTAACCCTAACCGTTCCTACACCCAAACCCTAACCTTGACCGAACCCACACCCAAACCCTAATTAACCCTGATCGAACCCACATCTAATTAAACCCACCCACCTAAAACCATGACCACAAACGACCAAAACCACCACCACAGCCAAAAAATTAATAAAAAACTCAAAAACAAAAATTAAAAACATGAAAACATACCGTAAAAATCATTAGCTTCAAATTTCATCTCGAACTTGGTTTAATAAGGCCAAATTCGACCATGAAAACTGTAGATCTAGAATTTTCATCATGGTCGAATTTGACCTTAAAAACCATTAATTTGTTTTAAACCACCACCATTATTTGCTTGAGCAAGAAAAAGAGGGGTGAGAAAGAGACACTACTAAAATTCGGTTAAATTGCGTCCGTTTTTCTATAACATTCAAGGAAACGGTCGCAAAATATGAAATATGCGATCGATTTTTATGCGGTAGCAATATTACGACCGTTTTTAGAGCGATCGCAGATTTGCGACCGTTTTTGGGCTATTAAACAGTCGTAAAGGTATTTAAACATTTTTTTAATAATATAGTTGTGTAAAATAATTTGAAATAAATTATAATCCTATTACGTCTGTTAAAAGCGGTCGCAAATTGTATAAATTGTGACCGATTTTTGAAACGGTCGCAGTTTTGCGACCGCTTTTAGCCGTCGCAATACGGAGCCCAACTCACCCAAACCCTAATTTTCATGATCCACCGCTCCTCTATCCTTTCTCTCTTTTCCTTTCTTCCTTTCCCTTTCTCTCTTTTCCTTTCTCTCTTTTTTCACGCTTCTCTTTTTCTCTCTCCTTTATCTTTCCTTTCTCTAACCCTAATTTTACATTGTATTTTCATCCAGTGAACACAAGAGAAGCAAAAGAAGTCAAAATTTCTCTCTCCAATCCTTTCAGATCTGCAACAAATGGAATGGAGGAAATTCTAGATTTGAGCAATTTTACTTCTTCTCTTTCCTTTCTCTTCTCTTTTTTAGGCCTCTCCTTCTCCCTCTGTTCTATGAAGGCCGAGCTCGGCGCTTGCCTTCTTCACGCTTCCTCTCTCCTTATTTTCCTCACTCTTTCTTTTCATCTTTTGGTCTAAGGGTTTGAGCAACAAGTGAATTTGGTGTTCATGGTCAAATTCGACCATAAAAATTCCAAATATGGAGTTTCATGGTCGAAAGTGACCATATAAACACAAAAAGGAATAATTATTGGGAAAGGTATGTTGAATTTTCTGAAAATTTTGTTTGTTTTTCTTTATTTTCGATTTTTGTGGTTTTATTTTGTTTTTTGTTCGAATATGCATGTTTATATTTATACAAATTTTTTTCGATTTTTTGTTTGAATTTTGTTGATGTTGTGTTCAAATTTTGTTGATTTTTTGTTTGAATTTTGTTGATTTTTTGTTCTAATTTTCAAGATTTTTTGTTTGAATTTTCTTGCTTTTTGTTTGAATTTTTATTTTCATGATTTTGTTTATTATGGGTTTCATTGTGTGTTGGTAATTTGTGGGTGTTATGGGTCAAGGGTTGTATGGGTGGTGGTGGGTAGAAGTTTATTAGGGTGGTAGGTAGAGGGCGGTGGTGTTGGTGATGGTGGTTTATGGTGAGAAGTGGCTGTGGGGTTGGGCTGGCACGACAGACAGTAAGGTGCATTCGTTTAAATTTTTTTAAAACTTTTAGCGACCGCAAATCTGAAATTTTGCGAACACCACAAAAATGGTCGCAATTAATATTATTTGCGATCGTTTTCAATCGTTTGTTAAGAATAAAGGAAACGATCGCAATAAATTTGCGACCGTTAATCAGTCGTAATAATGTTTTTTTGCGACCAAGTGTATAACGAACGTCATGTTACAACCGTTGACGGTCGTAACTATTTTCAACGTCCGTTTTTGCTATTATCACCGACCATTTCGACGGTCGCAAAAACCTTCATTTTTAGTAGTGAGATCATAGAAGGGAAGAGAGATGAGAGGAGAGGAGAGGAAAGGGGCATGCATGAGAAAGAGATAAGAGAAGGGAAAAGAAAAGGAGAGGAGAGAGAAAGAGAAGAGGGAGAGAAGAGGGGATGAGATCAGAGAAAGGAGAAATGGGAAATGAGAGGGGGAGGGGCGTCGAACAAATTAAATTAGGGTTTTGGTTTTTTTTTTAACTATAAATTCGTCAGAAAGGGGTTTAAATTCCGTTGGAAATTTTCGATGTTATTTAAGGCCGGTAAATACATCATTTCCGAAGTTTCTACCAATGGATTTCAATTCCTTCGAAAATTTCAGACAGATGTTCGACGAAAATTAAATCCATCAGAAATTTTGTATTTTTCGATGGATTTTCAAGTCTGTCAGAACCTATCTGTTGAAAATCGACTGATTTCTAGTAATGTTAGAGAAAATAAACCTAAATTAGAATCTAGAAAAGAAGAATTTGCCTCAAAGGTTGGAGATAAAAAGTACAATTAGGGATTTTGGGGGTTATAAGGGCTGAATTCGGCACTAGACTTCTTGCTTTGCTCTAATTTTTGGCCTAATGTTGGGCGGCAATGGTGGTTTTGTGGCCATTGGGGTTGTTAGTGTTGAGAGTTGTGGTGCGGGTGGTGAACAGTGGCATATGGTAGCGAGAGGTGGAGATGGGGCTGCTGCAATGGAGGTGTGATTATTGCGGCCGGATGAGTGGGAGTTGTGGCTGTGATGTGAGCTGAAGTTGATTGATGGTGGTGAGTGGTGGCAGCAATAGCTATTGTTGTCGTGTTGTGGGCGAGACAAGAGAGATAGCTAGGCTGCGGTTTTGTTGCGGGTGCTGCTTGGTGTATGCGGTGGAGCAGGGGCGTGAATTGGTGATTGGTAATGGCGGTTGATTTTGGTTGTCGTGGTAAAATTTGGGGATAAAAAGGGGAGGAAATGATGAGTCAATGCCGGAGGAAAAAAGTCAAGGCTGAGAATTCGGTGGGAGGTAATCAATTACAATATTTTACACTTTAATAGGTAGTTAATTACAACATTTTTTTTATTAGGTAGTTTTTCGCAAATTTTGGACTTTATTAGGTAGTTTTTCACAAAAAAAAATCCATATTATTATTATTATTATTATTATTGTTGTTGTTGTTGTTGTTATTGTTGTTGTTGTTGAGGAAAACGTTATTTTAGAGAATGAATTGGACTGAAAAAACAACCAATAATTGTCAAATTCTCAAGTTTGGTCTTTATGGTGAAAATGAAACTTCTGGGGCGGATATACAATCAGGACATAAGGTCATATCACTTTCATGGGGCATACATTATTACCATATTGGATTGTTTGGAAGTTTTTCTATTTTAGGCAGTTACACCTTTAATTCAAAGTTTAATTTTATCTTGTATGTAGGCCAGGGAATTTATTTTCTTAAATGTGTTGTATAAATTGATTATTATGAATGTTCCTAATATGAATGTACTAGGTTAGATCTCGTATCATGCACAGTTTTTCACTCTTTGTTATGGAGTATTAATTTAAAACTGTATTTAAATATAAAAAATAATTTCTCTGGTCCAAAATCTATTTCTTGTTTTATCCCAAATCAAGCAACTTAAAATATATTTTTTTTATTGCGAGCTTTCTTCTATTTTGAACCCTGACTGTATATATTTTTTTTATTCACATTTGATAATTTTTCATTCACCAATTATGTTAGGTTGAAAGATATATATTCATGATTTTTTTCTATAAATAATCATTATACATTAAAAAGCAATTACTTATATAGGAATTTATATAAATATGTGATAAGATATCTAAATTGGTAAATATATTTTTGTACGATTTTTTTCCTAAATTTTGGAAGAAAATATATTGCGTATATTCACTAAAAAATGACACGTGTCATTGCTGGTGTGTCTTTTAGTATATAGTTATTGATTATTGATTGATTGATAAATTCTTTTTATCACAAATTAGAATTTGTGTTATTATTATTATTATTGTTCTCTTTTTTTTTAATACTACATATAAGTAATTTGTGTTGTTATTATTAATTTATTTAAATATGTTGTATACAGTTAATAGATACAAGTATATTCATTTTATCAAATTCAAAAGATATTTCTTTGAAGTGTAAATGAAATCATGTATCAATATTATTAATTATGTGATATATTATTATTTTTGACCTGTCATTTTTTATAATTTACTTCGTAATATTTTTGTGTTTTAATGGTTATGCTTAAGATAAATATGGATCATGTCTCTTAACAAAGCTATGAACAATGGGATTAGCTAGGCCCGGTTCATGATGTACATATCTCGTCGTGTTGAAAATTTCATTGTTCAATACATATATGCATAGTCCAAGGTCATATGCCACCATACCAGATCGTGCCGTACTGCTTATGCACCTAAGCTAAGTTATCCGTACAATTTAAATAGTTGTATTTAACCTAAAGCAGATAAGGGTATATGACCTTGTGATTCTGTATGAAATTAGTTTTAATTTGATCGAGCACTACTTATTGTCAATCCAAAAAGGGCTAAACCTTACCATGTTGAATCAAGAATCTGGGTAAGATAAGTAAACTTCAATTCATCCAACTTTTCTTTTTTTTTTTTTTTTTGTTTTTTTTTTAACGAAGAATAGATCGCTAAACATAACACTTACATAGTACTTCGTAGTATATATATTTGCTCCATAATAAATAAAAGAAAATGACCCTTATTAATTTGGTGTAATTACTTACAAAGATCAATCGTTTAAGATTGATTAGATGACTAGATTTTTTTATCTTAATTGGTTTACTCATTAAGCAATGAGTTCATATGTTTCTCAAGGCTTGGCAGACGATGGTTGTCATCATATTTGTACATAATCGGAATCATCCTTGCTAAATTAAGCAAAGCGTTTTTTATATCTGTTGAAAATGGAGACTGAGATAGGCACTCTTCATTGAGGTACTTCCATGCTTCCGAAATCATCCCTAGAACTTGTTCACGCGCACATTCTTCTGTGCTTTCTTGGTACTCATTCATGTAACACGCTACAATTGATCCATCATAACCATCTTGATCCTCATCCTAAAATTTAAAGTAACATATTTTAGTAAGGTTCGAAAAACAAAATCTTGTATGAGACAGTTTAACAAATAATGTACTACAAAACTAAAGCAATACATGACATACCTTGGCACTCCCTAGGTCATCCCAAAGACGAAGAAGTGTACCCGTCATAGAAGCAATTCTAGGATGGTTGTTCCAAGTATTTGTGTCTTTAACATTTCTTGCTTCACCCAAGAGTGAGAAAAGGGTTGCAAAAACAACATAAACACCAGAACTAACCACTCCGTTCTTCAAATACTCCTTAATTGTTGGCAAATGCTCGGAAGCAAACCATCTTGCTTCTACTAAGAAAGCATTGCATAACTCTGCCCACTGAATATCAACAAATACAACACATAAATATCATTCCTTATATAACAATAATGCACGTAGGATTTTGAAAGGAGGTACGACTTATAATGACTCCGCCATTAACAAATTGGAAGATTAGTAAGAGATTCATGAACTTACCGCGTTTTGTAAATAATCTTTAGGGTTCCATCCATGTTTAATGTAAATTTTGTGGCTCATCTCCGTTGTAGTGTCAAAAAGTGCATTAAGGCAATTTTTCATGTAGTCCGGTAAGCCTTTGATGTTGGCATATTCCCATCTATTGACAGCTTCAGTAAAGAGAGTGAGCTCCTCGAGTTTTCCATACACATCAAAAATATCGTCGATGATATAAACAAAAGATATCGATTTTGTGAGTTCTGTTCTTAGATCTGCCTTATCCGGGCCAGGGAGGGCGACCGAGGACCACATATGCCATTTTACTGGTTGGTTTCTTGCATGCTCTAACACCTCAGCCACGTGAAGTTTGTTCCACCACCTAAGTAGAATGAACATAAAAAGTTACATGAATGATTATTTATTTAGGGGATTTTTTTTGAAATTATATTACGTACCTAGATACTTGATTCATTTCATTTTTAAGGGTGGTTTGAGACATGTTGACATCAATTTTTGCTAGTTCTTGTATATCTTCGATCCACTCATTCATAACATAACAGTCATCATGTAAAGAATTTAGCAAAGTTTTAAAATTGTGTATTTGTTTCTTTGCAGTAAGTCTAGGAAGGCTTTTATGAAATGGATTGTTAAGCGTGTTTCTTATTATCACGGTCTCATCAGATCTTTTGACATGCTCCACAGACGTCTTTAGGAGATTCCATGTAAATTCACTAGCTTCATCAAGTATTTGATCTCCTGGGATGCCCAGCTCCGATGCCTCAAAAAGACTCATTAGCCCGTTCGTGTCTTTCACAAGCTCTTGTTTGAATCTCCCATTGTTGTCCTTGAACTTTTTGAAAGTGTCTGTGTAAAACAATACCAAAATTTTACATATCAGTGGTGTCATAATTTCTAAATGAAGAGATAATATTGTTAACGGACCAATCAACAAAAAATTTAAGAGCATGGCTAAACCCCGGGATGGATTTATATACACTATTACGCCCCCTGGATGCGGCATTGGCCCCCTCACACCTAACGTGAAATATTCCACTTCAAAGTAGGGGTGAATGAGATTTGAATCCATGACCTTTGTATCATGTTGGCTCTGATACCATCTTAATAGACTAATTCAACCAAAAATTTAAACTGGTGATTGAAACCCATAATTGATTTATATACTAATCAAATAATCACCAAAACATATGACAACTTTATTGCAAAGAAATTGGTTGTATAATTGTTTTATAATGCTCTCTATTCCATAATTTACTAAGCTAGTTGTATGTGATAAGGTCCATTCTTAAATATAGTCATAAATAATCCATCACTGTCCTACCCACTATCAAATCTTAAGTACATTTTTTTTTATTTTGAAAAAGTAAGAAAAATTAAACATTAGTATGAGTCACTAAGTCTCCCATAAGAAAATATGAAAGTTGTAACCCTTTAATCAATTACGAAGAACTTTACTATACGTTACATTTTTTGCCTTTTTTATTATATGTGTATTGCAGGTTTGAATTTTTTATGGTTAGTAATATGTCAATGAAAATAAAATGTTTAATTAGTGTATAATCATCAAATCAAAGTTGCAAACACAAAAAAAGATAGCATAAAACTTTAGGCAATTAACCTGCTTGTACATTGTATCCTGCTTGTCTCAGTAGCCGAAAGCGAAGAGCAACAACATGAAGGTTATCACCACCCCCTTCACTACCGGTTTCGCTACATTTTCTCAGTACACCATGGATATCGTCTCGAAAGTAACATTCGAGTCCTAACCTTTGTATGGCATCAATCATAACCAACTCTTCTACGTGATCAACACCGCCTTCAATCGATTTGCTCGCCATTGTTTCCTTTATCTTCTTGACCAGCTGCTGAAACTGATACTCTTGCTGTAAATAATGGAAATAATAAAATAACAGTTACATAACTTGTATTCTTTTATATGATAATAAGCTAAATCTAATAAACTTGTCGGAATTAGAGCTATACAAGCTTAATAAACTACGGAGTACAACCATAGTTTTTCAAAGATGAGATAATCAACCCCATTTGTAGTTTATATTGCCGTTTATTCGACCAAAAATAAAAATGCAATAATAAAGATTAAATAAGATTAGATTACTCAACTGGGAAGGAAATATTATGGGACTGGTCGAAAAAGCTCTGCTTTACAAGGGCTGAATTTCCCTTAATTGATGTAATTTCTTGTATTTGGGTCGTCATTATGAAAATTAAGTGGCTAATTAATTTGGGAATTTTAAGAGTAATAGAAATTTTTATTTAAAGGGGAATTATAATTTTTTTTTTTTTTCACTTGCTGTTTTAGTTTGTAAAATACGAGGAGAAGACAGCCTTATTTATAGTAATGAAGCAGATATTATCACAATCCTAGTCTTTCACTAGTCCGACTGTTAAATGGTTGTTTTATCCTAGGTTGCACAAGAACGGGTATTAACACGGATACGAGTATAAAATGGATACGGAAAAACGTCTATCTCAAAATAAGGGATACGGGTACGGGATGCTAAAATTCATATAATATATTTTTTTTGTAAAATTTGACCATATATTTGTCATTCCGTCCTCTCATTAGATCATATTGTATCATATTAACAATAAGCTATATATGAAGGCACCCATATTATTTAACAATTACCTTATTTATCTTACTTTACTTGAATTTTCTCACTAAAAACAATCCATATCATAATAAGATACGATCCGAAACGTATCGTCGTGTGTATCACGAATATCGGTGTCTGACACAATGTAAAATGTGATTTTTCATTTTATCACATGTAAAATGAAAAAACTGATGAAGTACGGAATAATAAATAGTAAAATTAAATTCAAATAATGAAAATAACTATTTTTCCCATCAATAATACTTTTACAATGATTTGAGTCGTGAAATGACCTTCAGTCCTTGATTGATCCGCGTTAGTCTGAAGCGTTGACCACTTAAGGTCCCAGATTTTTGCTTCTACGAAAGGTCCCAGGTTTAAAATGTGATTTTGTACTCGGTTTAATAAATGAGTACGCATGTGTCCATATCTACTGGGTCTATTGGGTCTTGGGGCTAAAATCGTTACGGAGTACTAAATTTATAATCGGTGGTTTGTACACCCGGTACACCCAGATAAAAGCGGAAAAAAACATCGCTTATTATAACAAAGAACATCACAAGTATATAAAAGAACACAACATTGAAATATAAAGAAGAAGATAATTTCTGAGATTGAATTTTCAAAAAAGGTAAAGATAATTACTATTGATTTTTATCACTTATTAAAAGTTAAATCATTAAAAAATATTCAGTTTATAGAATTTCTCTTCTAATTTTTTTTTTTTTCCAAAAAATAATTCAAGGTTTCATTTCAATTTTCAAAATTTAAAACATATTTTTTTTTTGAAATATCAAAATTTAAAACTTTATTTTCAAAACTTCAATTTTCAAATAAACATATAGAACATATTATTCAAAGAACATTTTTAATCTACATACCTTAAAGAACATAATTAATTTGTTATGTAAACAACATATAATTCAGAGCCAAAGAACATATTGATTAGACTCAAAAAACGTATTTTATTCCAATTTTAAAAAAAAATGAATATGGATCCTGTAAATGATAAAAGAACATTTATAGTAATTTAAAGAACATCTTTTTCAACCTCAAAAAATAACACAAAAAAGGAAAATACTTTTTCTCTCAAAAACAGATTCGCCAATTACATATTTTATTAAAAGATTCATCGTAACAACTTCGTAATAACATTGAATCACTTCAAAATTTAAAATTTTCCATTGTTTCTCTCTCTATATTAAACCACTAATTTCTCTCACTTTGAAAAAAAATATTGGGCCCTATGACAAAGAAGCCCAAAACAAGAAAATTAACCCAACTACCACATAAGCTTTAAATACTAATATAAAATAAGAAGTGTAGGTATTATTAAAAGTAGAGTTTTTTTTAACAATCTGACAACTAATAATGATAAAGTGAACCATTTTTACCGTTTTATTATTACTGACTCTCCTCTCTATATCCCTATGAGCATGCAACACTATTGCAGGTGCTTACTTCATGTCTCCATACGATTAAAAAAAATTGCGAATGATTGTCAATTCATGTTATCAAAATTAACTCAACATATGGTATTGAAATTCTTTAGTTATGTAAAAAAAAAAGATTTTTTCCATCCTTTTAACACTTAAATCAAACTTTGTATGGAAAACTATGTATACCATATATAAGGTCAGACACTACAAATCATAAATGATTATAAACGCATAAATTAATTGTGCAATTGAGTCAATTTATCATTTTTTTTTCTTGTTTATCAGATAATTGCTTGATACGAAATATTAAATTCAATTTATTTAATATTTGTGAAGTGATAATAGTATGGTAGAGGGGGGTGTACCATGTGCATGGTACACCCGGAAGTACATTACATATAAAAAAAACATTGGTACAATTTTAATGTTCTTTTATTTATATGTAATGCTCTTTTTTTATGAAGCCTCATTTATATGTAATGTTCTTTATTTTATATGTAATGTTCATTTCACCCATTCATTTTCTCTCTCTTCGATACTCTCTCTCCTCTCCCTCTAACTTCAATTCTTCTATTTTATTTCTTGATTTTTATAGCTTTTACGTGCTTAATTCATCACTCACAAACACATTTATACTAGATTTTACACTCCAATGCAAAATCCGAATTTCACAACCAAATTTTCGAATTTGCATGATTTGAGAATTTTGGGTATTTTTGATTTTGGCTAAAAAAACTTGCCATTGAGTGTTCAAACTTGCTTGATTTCCACTATTAATTCACTTTACAAGGGTTTTCTACTCATTTGAGGTATGACTTCTCTTTCTTTGTTCATCTTTGTTCATCTTCATAAATATGAAACCCTAGGTTGTGCTTCAATAGTGAATTCTCTCTTTGCTCGTTATTTTTACCTATATTTTGTGTTTTGTAATAATGTTTGTTGTTCATATAAAGCTTTATTATCATGAAATTACTTGACTGTTTGAATTTTTGGCACTATCATTGTTGTTCATTATCTTCTTCCATGGGTTTGGATAGTAGCATTTTTCCATTATTAATATGTAACGTTCTTTTTCAGAAAAATAATGTTCTTTTATATTTATATGTAATGTTCTTTTATTTTTAAGTTATGTTCTTTTATTGTATGTAATGTGCTTTATTTTATAAGTAACGTTCTTTTTGATGTACTCTATGTTCGTTTGTAATGTATAATAAATTATTATAACTACGATTTTTTTATTTATATGTAATGTTCTTTTATTTATAGGCAATGTTCTTTTATTTATATGTAATGTTCTTCTATTTATAGGTAATGTTCTTTTATTCATAGAGTGATGTTCTTCCGGGTGTACCATGCGCATGATATACCCAGGTGTACGAAACAATTATTGTTTGTGAAATGCTATGATGCATATTAGAGCTTGTTAAAAATTTCGACCCCCAATAGAAAATGTTTAAAAATCCGTGACTGATTACTCGTATCATTTTTAGTGGATATGAACGCACCAAAAAAAAAGGTCGAATATTGTTTGATAAACAGCCGAAAAACGTTTTTTGTTGAATAAAAGCTCGATTGACAACGCCACCTTGAATTGACGTTTTGTAGGAATGAACTATTGAATTGTACTAAGTGTCCTCCTCAGTGTTCGATTGCTCATCAGCGTAAACAGACTAGACCTTTCAACAATATGTAACAGTTTATGCAAAAAAATAAAATCGTGATCCTCAATCCTCGCCTTTCATCGTCGCTCTATAAAGTAAAAACTAATGACCGGTCGTCTTAGTACGTGATCAAATGAAATTAAACGAACAACCCACATATAATTTGCCGCATGTCACATAAATAAGGCTACAAATTACTTCTCCTATAATCAAATGATTTTAGGATGAAATCTCCCGTGAGCTAGTAAATTATCGCACTATATAATCTCCTTTTTATTACTCAAAGGATGCGGCCTAGGTCCATTAAACAGTTGAAATTTAACAATTTATATCTAAAATGTCACAAAAAAAATTGAGCAAACATTTATAATCATGATCGATATAGATTTCCCAAATTTTAATCTCTACCCTTTATTTTTATTTTTTTATTTTTATTTTTTAGTGAAAGAAAAATTTAATTCTCTTTTCATGAGCTGCTAATGTTCACTTTGTTGAATGTGAGAATTTTTGTCAATGGAGAGTTTACTTTCCTAATTGTGGTGACAGTATTCAATGGTAACTCAGCTCGTTTCACAAAATTTGAAACAAAAGCTATTAGTGGGCTTTATCGTGGATTCATGGGGTATACTTTGAGTCTTTGACAATACAACAGCCCCAACTAGCCCAAACTTCCTTTTTCTTTTTCCTTTTTTTAAAAAATAATAATACAACCTAGTTGTACTAGCTAGTACATCACTACATTGTACAACCTCCCGTATCTTTTTTTACGCAAATTCTTATATGTGGCTGGTTACACGGTGTGGTCAATGATCATGGGGTTTACTTCTTTAGTGTTATAGGGGTTACCAGATCAATGTTAAAAAGATTACCCGATTAGTATAACAAGGGTTATTTTATTATTTTACAAGCGGCCATACGGTGTGGCTAGCCGCACACAAACGAGCTGGTTTTTTTATTTTTTATTTTACAGAGTGTGTTCTATACTTCTATCTCTTTAAATTACATTCCTAAAACCTGTCAAAAAAAAAAAAAATTACATTCCTAAAAAGTACAAAGTAAGTTATAATTTATTAAAATAAAATTCCAATTTTATTTAGTAAAATTAGTTATAGCGAACTGTGCTAAAAGTTATAATTTATAAAATTTAGATAAACGAAAATTTAAGAGAAGTTTTTTGCGTGAGACCGGACTCACTGTGAGTCTAATATATCTGACAATAATATTCTAATATATGACATTAATATTCTAATATCTGACGTAATATTTGACATTAATAATCTTATATCTGACATTAATAATCTAATATATATCTAACATGAGAAGTCTAATATCTGACATTAATTATTAATGTCAAATATTAGATTATTAACGTCAGATATTAGACTATTAATGTCATATATTAGAATATTAATGCCATATATTAGAATATTATTGTCATACATTAGATTATTATTGTCAGATATATTGAACTCATCGTGAGTCCGACTCACCCAATTTTTATCGTTAGGTTAATTAGTGAAAATGAGATAGGAGTAATTTATGTTTTTACAAAAAGGTAAATAACATAATCAATAAAAAAAAAAATCAATAAAAGACTAGACAGTCAAATTTGCAATTTAACATTATATACAAGTGTGTAATTGTAGAGTTAAATTATCATACCAACATGAAATAACATAATCAATAAAAGATTAGACAGTCAAACTTGCAATTTAACATTATATACAAGTGTGTAATTGTAGATCAAGGCACAAGACGTTAGTGGCAGTAATGCCACTTAGACGACCCACACCAATTGGTGATGAAGTAGCTTAGCTTGCTAGTCTGTTAGTTGAGGAAGTCACCCTTTCACGCACTTTTCTTATAATTTCATT